TGATTTTTGGTGATTGGCTTACTTAGCATGATGTTCTCCAACTCCATCCATTTACCTGAAAATGCCATAATTTTATTCTCTTTTAATGCCAAGTAATATCCCATTGTGTATATATACCACAGTTTCTTTATCCATTCATCTATTGAAGGGCATCTAAGTTGCTTCCACAATTTAGCCATTGTGAATTGTGCTGCTATAAACACCGAAGTGGCCGTGTTACTATAGTACACTGTTTTTAAGTCTTTAGGGTGTAGACTGAGGAGAGGGATAGCTGGGTCAAATGGTGGTTCCATTCCAAGTTTTCTAAGGAATCTCCGTACAGCTTTCCAGATTGGTTGCTACCAGCAATGAATGAATGTGCCTTTTCCCCCATATCCTTGTCAACACTTATTGTTGCTTGTATTCTTGAAAACTGCCATTCTAACTGCCATGAAATTAAATCTTAGAGTAGTTTTGATTTGCATTTCTCTAATTGCTAGAGATGATGAACATTTTTTCATATATTTGTTGATTGATTGTATTTCTTCTTCAGAGAAGTGTCTGTTCAGCTCCTTAGTGCATTTATTGATTGGGTTGTCTGTATTTTTTGGTATTTTTTTGAGTTCTTTATAAATCCTGGAGATCAGTGCTCTCTATCTGATGTATGTGTGGTAAAAATTTGCTCTCTCATTCTGTAGGCTCTCTCTTCACCTCATTGATTGTTTCTTTTGCTGAGAAGCTTTTTAGTTTGAATCCATCCCATTTATTGATTCTTGATTTTATTTCTTGCGCTTTAGGAATCTGATTAAGGAAGTCAGGACCTAATTGACTTGATGAAGATTTGAGCCTACTTTTTCCTCTGTTAGGTGCAGGATCTCTGGTCTAATTCCTAGGTCCTTGATCCACTTTGAGTTTTGTGCGTGGTGAGAGATAGGGGTTTAATTTCATTTTGCTGCGTTCAGACTTCCAGCTTTCCCAGCACCATTTATTGAATAAGCTATCTTTTCTCCAATGTATATTTTCGGTGCCTTTGTCTAGTAAGAGATACTTTAGAGATCTTATCAGCCTTCTCATCCAGCTTTTCTGTTGAATTTCCCAGATCTGTATCATGTTTTTGCCTTTTGAGAACTTTTTTTATGGAATCTCAATATTCTTTTTTTCATATGATTTTATTCTTATAATGCAGTTACAATATCTTGTTCATGTGAGGATAATGAGTTTTAAAATTTTCATTTTCCTAACATCTGTTTCCTCCAAGTTGCTTATTTCTTTTACTCTGATGTCTGTCTTCAATGTAGGAGGCACTTTGGTTTGTTTTCGAGCACACAGGTGAGGCTTGTCACGTGTAAGCTTCACTGTGGGATTATCTGGTGGCATGTAGGGGAACCTGCCTAGATGTTTTCTCTTAGCAGATCCAGCTCTTGAGAGGAGAGTATAGCAGGGGTAAGGGATGGCTTCCAGCCTTCTTGGAACTGAGCTGGGGAGTCTCCCAGGCAGTGGTCAAAAAGTGAAACACTTATTCCCAGTTTTCTGTTGTTGTTCTCAAATATGCCTAGTGTCTCCAACCCAGAAACCTGTTTCACCATTTCAGCACACCTCTGTGTAAGGAAAGAACCAAATGAAGGAAAGAGAGGGGAGAGGTGTCCCAATAGTAACAGGTTTATTAGGGACAAACCTACGGAGGGGATCCAGTGGAGACTGAGACCTGTCTTCCAACTTCTGCTTATAGCCTGGGGTCATTATAGGGACTTGAGAGAGTGGGAGAAATTTTGCATTTAGGCTGTTGCTAGGGGGTTGTCAGGAAAGGATGCTTGGGGTCTCACCTCCATTGTTGAAGTGGTCATTTTTTCAGGCCGAACCAAGATGAGAGTATTGTCTGGGGGTTTAGTCGGAGTAACTGGGAGGTGACTCTTGTTCGAAGATGAAGGATATGTTTCAAAATGGCAATACCTGTGTCAAGTTCTCCCTAACATTCTGGACATCCAGAATGAGAGAGCGGCACCGGTTACTGCGAGTGACTTGGAGTTGTGGGAACCACCTAAGGCAGTGCTTCCTGTGCACACAAATCACATGGGATCTAGTGAAGAGGTAGGTGCTGATGCAGTAGCTCTGGCCTTGAGTCTGAGATCTGCTGTCTAGTAAGCTTTTTGCTGCTGGTCTCAGGTGAGATCACACTTGCAGCAGCAAGGACCCAAGACTTCTCTAACAGCTTTTCACCTGGCCCTCCTTACTTTCCATGAATTCTTCATCACTATCGTCACCCCAGTTCTAAAGCTTCTGGCTACTGCCTTCAGGATTCTTCGGTGTGTGGAGTTGGTTCTCATCGTTGCTGACTCAAGGCCCAGCTTTCTCAGGTTGATAGAGTCAGTTGCTACTGGCTTACCAGCTTACTAGCTTCCAAAATGTCACTGTCCCCTTCTTTCATTTTCCCTCTATCTTTTGGGGGTGGGGGACGTAATTCTTTCATTTTGTGGTGTGGTGGGGGTTGGTCAGGAAGAAGCAAAATTGTGTGTGTTCTGCCATATTAACCCTAACTCTAACCATCTGCTAAAGTATTTCCCTCAATTGGTTATATCTGTGTAAACAGAGTTTGTTTTGTAATTCGTAACTACTGTGGTATGCCTCTGGGTCTTTGCATACAGTGTTCTCTAATTCTCTCTTTCTCTTTTTTCTGCCTGCCAAATTCTTTGTTTTTTTTTTAATTTTTATTTTCTTTGCAGTGTTGGGGATTGCTAGGCAAGCACTCTACTACCTGGCTGCACCCACAGCCCTATCTGACACAGTCTTCAAGACCCAGATCCAGGGCTGGCTTCTGTGAAGCCCCCTTTGTTTCAGAGTTGTTAAAGCTGTTGTGTTGTCATGATTCTTCCCGTAGCCAGCTGATTATACAATAATCCAGCTATGCAGTATTTTCCAAAGATTGTGAACTCCTCAGGGTAGGCTTGTGTCTTTGCATCTCAGTACCCAGTACATTTAAGAGCTTATGGATACCTAACAATTGAATTAATTTCTGTGCATGTCTATATTTTTCTTTTTTTAAATTTTCTGTTCTCTTTGTCTTTTCTTTCTGTTAAGAGGTTATTATATCACATGTTCAAGGCCAACCTGGGCAACTGAGCAAGACTCTATCTCAAAACAAAATAAAAAGTTTGTGGATGTAGGTCAGTAATGAGGCACTTGCCAACATGTGCAAGGGTCTCAGTTCAATCCTTCAATCCCCAGTCCTGGGCGGGGAGAAAAGTCAATGATTAGCATAAATATAAGTTCTCAATTTCTAAAAACTACCTTATTAAATTAGATTTAAATATTACATAGACATCCATTTTACATCTAAATATCAATAAAAGACAAAATTTCCCTTAGCCTTAATGAAGGCATAATTATTACCCCTGACTAAAGTGATCTATTGAAGGAGTTTGAATTTAAAATATTTAAATAAATTAAATGTAAATCTTTTTCAGTTTCAATGTTTGTTTTTTTTTTTAAGTCTACCAAGCTTCCAGGGCTCCTTTCAAATTTCTTGCCTATAAGACCTTTTTAGAGCAAATGAACTACCGTTAAAATTTAACCCAAACTTTGGATTGTGCAGAGGGGAGTGAGGGGAGGGGCAGGGGAATGGGGATGGGAAAGATGGTGGAATGAGTGGACATTATTACCCTATATACATGTAATGATTACACTTCTGGTCTGATTCTGCATCATGTTCAGCCACAGGAAGGAGAAGTTGTGCTCCATTTGTGTACAATGTGTCAAAATGCCTTCTACTGTCATGAATAACTAACTAGAACAAAAAAAAATGTAACCCAGAAATTGTTAATAACACCATAGTCTAGTCAGCATGTAATTTAAATAATGGAATTAATAAAAATGTACAATCACGTTCACCATTGCTAGCTTAGTGTGAATTTCAGACATCATGTCAGCTCTCTTAAAGTTTTGTAGACCAAATAATTTTTCATCACCTAACAAAACATAAAATGCCTTTCAAATTGAAAATCTAGTATCATTTGCATTATTTAAGAGCATGTTTAAGTAATATAATATTAGAGCTTTTACATTAAGCTACTACAAACATGCTATATTTTAGTTGATTCAATTGCAATTATACAGAACGTTGGCATTTTTACTTAAATTTACTTTTTACTATTATTCATTTAAAAATATTTTTCACTGCCAGGCGCTGTGGCACATGCTTGTAATTCTAGTCCCTCATGAGGCAAAGGCAGAAGGATTGTGAGTTCAAAGCCAGACTTAGCAACAGTGAGATCCTGTCTCTAAATAAAACACAAAATAAGGACTGGGGTTGTGGCTCAGTGGTAGAGTGCTTTCCTAGTATGCACGAGGCACTGGGTTCGATTCTCAGCACCACATAAATGTAAAATAAAGATATTGTGTCCACCTAAAACTTCAGAATAAATATTTTTAAAAATAAATAAATAAAAAATAAAATACAAAATAGGGCTGAGATGTATGTGGCTCAGTGGTTGAGTGCCCCTGAGATTAATCCTCAGTACCAAAAAATTTTATATATATATATATATWTWTTTTTTTTTTTTTCTTCCACAGGCCTGGGCTGTAGCTTAGTGGTAGAGCGCTTGTCTAGCATGTGTGAGACTCTGGGTTCAATCCTCAGCATCACAGAAATAAAGCTATTGTGTCCATTTACAACTAAAAATAATTTTAAAAATATGTTTTAACAGGTAAAAAAAATAAGTGGATTATTATTTAAAAATGAGCTTCAGGGAATAACATGTTGGCATTCCATCATAAATATTCAAGGGTGATTTCAAAAATACATTTTAGTTTGTAATTCCCTAAAGGTCATTTCTTTTCTAAAATTTACTTTGCAATTCATGATTTTTCTCTGCATTTGTTAATAGCATAATCCAATGTATGTCCCCTTTATACCTGTTTCAGAAATTGTGAGTGACAAAATGAATGTAAATTGGGACGTTGATTCCCRCTAATCTTTTGGTCTTCATCTTCTTTGATAACCAGCTATTGATTTCTGACTTTTGAAGATGGATGAAGGTACAGAAATTTCAAGTGATGGAAATTCCTTGATCAAAGCAGTCCATCAGAGCCGACTTCGCCTCACAAGACTTTTGCTAGAAGGTGGTGCCTACATCAATGAGAGCAATGACCGYGGGGAAACGCCTTTAATGATTTCTTGTAAGACCAAACACGTGGATCACCAGAGTGTCAGTAAAGCCAAAATGGTGAAGTACCTGTTAGAAAACAGTACCGATCTCAATATACAGGACAAATCTGGGAAAACTGCCTTGATGCACGCTTGCTTAGAAAAAGCTGGTCCAGAAGTTGTTTCTTTGCTCCTAAAGAGCGGAGCTGACCTCAGCTTGCAAGACCATTCTGGTTACTCAGCTCTTGTTTATGCAATAAATGCAGAAGACAGGGAGACCCTGAAAGTTCTCCTTAGTGCTTGCAAGGCAAAGGGGAAAGAGGTCATCATTATAACCACTGCAAAATCACCCTCTGGGAGGCACACTACCAAACAGTACCTAAACATGCCTCCTGCAGACATCGATGGGTGTCATTCCCCAGCCACCTGCACCACTCCTTCTGAGATAGACATCAAAACAGCCTCATCGCAACTTTCACATTTTTCTGAAAGTGAACTGACGCTTTTTGGCTTTAAAGACCGGGAGGCCTGTGGAAGCAGTGAGGATACCCGGGAACCAGGCTCCCCTGTGAGGAAGCCTGCAGTGTCCCCTAATGGGCCCAAGCTATCCCAGGGTCCAGCCTGGATCAAAAGTACCCCGTTATTAAAGCACCAGAACAGAGTGGCCTCCTTGCAAGAGGAGCTCCTGGATATTACACCAGAGGAAGAATTCTCCAAAACCAATGGGCTGGCACTTTCTAAGCGATTCATCACAAGGCACCAAAGCATTGATGTAAAAGATACTGYGCATTTGCTCAGAACCTTTGATCAGGCTGGTTCGAGGAAGATGTMATATGATGAAATAAATTATCAATCTCTGTTTCCAGATGGAAATCAGCCATGCGCTGAAATTCCTGTTGACCAGGACCCAGACCCTAACCAGACGATATTTACCTCCACCTTGAGAAGCATAGTTCAAAAAAGAAACTCARGGGCGAATCACTACAGCTCTGATTCCCAGCTTTCCGAAGGCCTTATTCCACCAACTTTAGAAGATGGCAAAGCATTTACAGGAAAAAAGAAGATCCTCTCGCCATCTCCTTCACTGTTGTCAGGCTCCAAAGAATTGTCAGAGACTATCCCCCCAGGGCCCCTGAGCAGGAGAAATCATGCAGTTTTAGAAAGGCGGGGTTCTGGAGCTTTCCCTTTAGATCACAATATTATGCAGACCAGGCCTGGGTTTCTGCCACCCTTAAATGTAAATCCTCACCCTCCCATCTCAGATATCAATGTCAACAATAGGATTTGCAGCCTTCTTTCTTGTGGTCAAAAAGTGCTTATGCCAACAGTTCCTATTTTCCCTAAAGAATTAAAAAGTAAAAAAATGTTGTTAAGGAGACAGTCTTTGCAAACAGAACAAATTAAGCAATTGGTAAATTTTTAAGAGAAGGCTAMAAAACACATTGTCTTCAGATGTCTGTGTCAGAGAAATACACACATAGAAAGCTTAAATGTCCATCCTTTTATGTCTTGTAATTGGTTAGCCCATTGTGGTTAGGTAGACTAAAATATTRTGTTTTGAATTAAGCACTGTGAGCATATGCATATTGTATAGCTTCTGCTAAGGGAATTCTCTCAAACAAAATGAAAGCTATTTTTCTCAAAGCTTCCAATATTTATCAGCCTTCATGTGGTCCAGGTTTTCCATTTAAACAAAAATGAGCAAAGAAAGGTCACAATATTTTGAAGATTTTAAAAAATTTTTTCAGAAATGTTT